CCAGAGTCCCCCTGAGTATAGAAATCGAGCAGCAGAACTGGAATTCCTTACATGACTGTTCGGCTACATTGGGACGTCAGCCAACCTCCAGCAGGGGAACGATAAAGGCTTTATTCTCTGCTTCATTCCACTACTGTTCTCCTACTCAACACCGAGATGGGAGCTGAGACTTGGGAAGGGGAGGCAGTGGTCTGGGATGCCGGGGGACCGACACATCAGGCCGTGAGGAGGAAGAATCAGGGCCCAGCAAGCATATATTCGGCAGAGACATAATATCCTTGACTCTGAGCGCGCTGACCAATAACAACCCATGATGTGGGTAATGTATATCTGAGGTTTGCATTCCCAAAACATACACTGTGGCCAAGCTTAGTTTACAGCTGCCGTTTGAACATTCGAGTTGCCAAAATAAACCAACATAAAGCAAATCAAGCTCGATCTGGAGAGCGAGGGACCTTTCAACCAGTCAATGATCGCTTATAAAAGACTAGCCTCATATACTTAAAGTCTCCACTTCAAATCGGATATTACATTAGTTAGTCAAAGGAAGAATTAATTTGTTAATTTTTCATTAACAGTTTTCCTCTAGTTGTTCTCCCGCAGTTTGTAAAAAGAAAAGCGCACACTCATCTGTTTCATAAGGCTGGTTGAGTAACAGAGGTCACAGAGGGGTAGAGGTATATTTTATTCATGAAGCCACGGAGAAGGTCCTTTTGTCATGTCGACTGTCTTTTCGCCTTTGCTGTTCACTCCCTTGAGTGCGTTCAAGGTGGGCATTTAAGGAACTAAACGGCACTAGGTCACACAGCAGCTATGCAGGGATGGTTCCGGGCTGGCAGGAGGGCCACACAGCCCTTCTCCTGAAATCGTACTGCCTTGGGGGGGGGGGGCGCCCTGAGAGTGGCTGCAGTAGAAGACACCTGCCATGGTTCCCCCCCCGCCATTCTTGGGGTCTTCAGACAAAGAAGGGAGGGTTTGAGATGTGGTTCTCCAATACCCTGAGTTCCCAGTCAGCCTGGAGACAACGTTATCAATCAAAACCACCAGGCCTGACTTCCTATTGTGTTGGGGGCAAACCTGCACCGGTTTACACCCATGGTCCAGCAGAGGGGGCCAGAGGGGGCTCAGACTCCTGGTGCAAAGCTGTTCTTAGTCACATTTAAAGGGGCTGCTCACTGGCTTTTCAGTATGATTATGTGTTTCCCAACCCGGTCCATCGGGGACCCCCAGACGGTCCACATTTTCGCTCCCTCCCAGCTCTCAACACACCTGTACCAGGTATTCAGTGTGTTCTCGATTGAAGGGTTCAGGTTTGGGAGCTGGGAGCGAGCAAAAACGTGGACTGTCTGTGGGTCCCAGAGGACTGAGCAGGCAAACACTGACTTTGACTGACTAGGGCAGGGCTGGCCAGTCTTATCCACAAAGGGCCAGTGTGTATGCAGGTTTTTGGAATAACCTTTAGGTCGGCTGTTCAAACTCAGGTGCAAGAACAATTCAGTCAATCAGTCCTGTAATTAGTAACTTAAATAGAGATCTACAGCAAAATCTTGCATATCCAAGGGCCCTTTCTGGATAAGACTGACCACCTCTGGTCTACGGGTTCCTGAGGACTGGGTTGACAAACATTGTTTTGGAGTCTTCTGTGACCCTGACCCTGCTCCATGGCCAGGACACTCATACGATGTCTTCCCAAGGCCAGAAAGAAGCACCCTCAAGCCTCTTCCACGCTCAGACGCCATCTGCTGAAGCTGAAACACTGCAGTACCATGGCACGGCCAGCTGACCAGCTGCACCGAGAGCTGCACTGGAGGTATAGCCACTCACAACCTCTTACTCTCCCTCAAACAGCCATAAATAAGCTTCAATCCCATGAGTGCTTGCAAGCTGACAGGTAGCACTTAGAACACAGAATTGTATACTTCTGAAACCACATTGGGACAAAAATACAACACACAAGATGTTAAGATGTTAGGAGATCACTGCATGGTTCCAAAGCTCATTCCATAGCCCTTCAGGTGCAGTAACGTTGATGATGCGTTCATGTATTCTCCCAATATTCTCAGTGCCAGATGTTCCTACACTTGCAGTTCCATTCATCAGAGGCCTTGAGGGAGCAGGTGAAATTTCACATCCTCCCTTAATAACACAGAAGCCCCGACAAACAATCCAGGGCTGAACACCTTCCATCTCAAACAAGCAATTACAGACGCTCCCTAGGGTAGGGAACTCTTTCTATAATGGCCGGTGAAGAGTGTCCTTCACTGGTCACTGCTCAGAGTCCCGTTATCACAGAAGGTCTAAGTGAAATCTAAGTGAGAAAACAAGAAGTTGATTCATTTAAGCTCAACACATAGCACATTTTTTTTACTCAGAAACATTGTTTGCGTTAATATTTCTTTATTAAGCAGTCAGACACAAAGCTGACATATTTATAAGGACAGTGGCTTCACCCCACAGTCTATTTTAAGCAGATGGTATTTACGGCCCCCACCTTGGGCACCTTGAGTTAATTCTAACCTCACGCTGGCACCTGCAAGCTCTCGCTCTCCCCTCTCCTACTCCAAGCACACTCACGCAAGCTGACGCATACACAAACCCAGAAACGTTAGCCAAGTGTGAAAAAAACCTCGCCGGTTTTCAGCCGAAGGTAATTAAAGTTGGGTCTTTCGTACAGAGGCCGGCCCAGGACCATCAAAGCAGGGCCCAGAACAGCAGCGGTCCTTATCAAGCCAATTAAAGCCGGCCAGAGCTGCTAACGTTCACGCACGTACATGTGTGCACATGAGCATTACCCGCTATCCCGGCTTGGGGGAATGCTAACGACGTGAACTCATTTCCTGAGGCCGCGCACTGCCGCTCGCCCTGCCAGACGCCGGTCCTCAGATCCCAGATATCTGGTCTACGGTTAGCATTAGCGGTGTTTAACATACACTACGGTCAAACAGGGACTGGAAGCTCGTCTTCAAATGTTCTAGTCCAGGGGTACTCAATTATTTTCCCCTGGGGTACAAATTCCAGCAGCGACACAAAGCTGAGGTCCACTCTCCCTCACGGTATATTTCGATGGCTGGTGGAGGGGATTGATTGCGGCTTTCCAGATGAAATCACGGTCCGCCAGGGCATACCCCTGCTCTATTCTGATACTCGTGTTAAAAACTGCAGGAAACAAAGGTGTGAAACAAGTAGGATGAACATGGATGAATGGATTCATAACTGTATTGTCTAGCAGTGTGCCGTCCACTGGGACAGGGGAATAGGAGAAGAGGAGAGATGAGGAGAAAGACGAAGACTTTCAGGAGCCCAGACACTATAGGGGCGCACATGGGGGCATGGATAATGATAGAATTGGTTTGGAGAAAGTGGGGACCCATTTGGGAGAATTTTTCAGGGGCTCAGCCATGTCTCTGTACGACCCTGGACCCCAGAACTATCAAGCTGAAAACATCATTGGCATCACATCTGCAGTGAAAACCAGCAGTAGCCATGTGATGAAAGCTCCTCCCCAACTGCAGATCAGCCATGAAGTCAAGACCAGCAGACAGAGTTCCTCCATAGAGCCACAAAGACCCCCAATGCCGACACCAATTCTCACCTTCCCCACGGGCCCTGCACCCGACGTTCAGAACATTCCCCCTTCTCTGAAATCCCCCCAGAGGACCCTCCCCCCCGCTTACCGCCTCTGTGTGAACGGGGTGGACGGCGAAGAGCAGGGCTGCGAGGAAGGCGGGCCGCCCGTCGGCGAACACGGCGCACTGGCACGTGTGCATCAGCAGCGCCGTGGAGGCGCAGTGCAGCACCACATTCACCACATGGAAGTAGAACGGCGTCATCCCGCCCAGCATGATGTTCAGCCTAGGAGAAAGAAAGGAGTCAGGAGTGGGCAGCGGCTAGGCGATTAACATCAAAGACCAGGTCTTTGATTGGCCGAGCAAGGGAGGTTCGGTCAAACAATTCAATGTGAATAGGACATTATTATCCACCAGGAGCAATTCCAAAACTTTCCAGGGGCCAATCAGCTTTGAGCTGGGGCCAGTGTCCCTGTGGCCCCGCCCCTGTATATGCCCGTTATCCATCAGTCTTCCAACATCTTATCTTGGATAGGGGTGTAGGACATTAATACACCAACTGGATTTTATTCTCCTCCTGGGTAAAGTAAATACCGCAGAGCACGGTATATATAGAAAATATTATAAAACCCATAATGACTGTGTAAAGTACAAAGGTAATAAAGCGCAGCTTAAGCATGCCTTTGAACAGGTTTTCCATCATCTCATGTATGTTGACAGTCTGACTGCGCAGTGGAGGTAATACACAGCCACACAATTCATAATAAAACACTTATAATGCAGGCACTTCCTGACTCATCCATGGGCTGGGGACACTGCACCGGACTACTCGAACCCATGACCCAGCAACTGCAGTTTCAAGCCTCTTCCAAAGAATTGTGTGAGTGGGTGCGGTATTGACCAGAGAGACATTTTTGGGCTTCTTTGACTAAGAATACCAGGAGCCTGGTTTTCGGATCACCTGCTCCCTCGTGCCCACAAGAACAACATCCATCGTGCACATCTCCAAGCCAGCATCCTCTTTGTGCAACAACTGGCAAAACATTTCTCAAAATTACAAATATTTGTCACACTGGCTGTAACAGCATCCCAGCAGCCTGACCCTGAAATATCGAGCAGTTTTTCAATAACAGATTTTAATTAAATCATCATTTTCTGAGGTTTTTCTCTTTCAGCCCACCAGCACATATAAATGAGAATTGATCATTTTCCTATTAACAGATTCAGTATGATAATTAGAAATCAATGTGTATAGTCCTTTAATTGCTTGCGGAGATTCCACTGAAGCCAAGGTTTTCTGGTTGGAAGAGGAATTCATCAGCTAAATTAGAAAATAAAACTGGCTAAAATGCAATGCAGTTTTAGCACAAAGTCAAGGAATTCTAGTGCCATATTTCTCAAAGGCACTGTTTAGAAAATATGATCCAGTGAAATATAAAGGAAATGTAGAAGATGGGTGACTTTTTAAAAATTAAATTTTCTTAGATTTTCACTGCCAGATGCGGGAAGAATGCGAATGTTTTGGGTGAGGGGCGAAGTCAGGCTCATTCCCACTGTGCTCACCTGTAATACATATTTAATTGTAAAATCTGTTATATATGAGGGAGTCTGTGAGCAATGGTCCGGCTCTCTGCGTTCTGGACTTCACATCCTGAGTAAAGCAAAACAGATATTTTCTATTTTGTTCAGCAGCTAAACGACCGGCGCGCATTTATTAATGGCTGTGAACTTAATCGGATTTTTCCTGATAAAACTGAGATCTTTGTCGCAGACATTATATTTTAGATTGGAAAAACAAAACGAATAGGCTTAACGCGAACAGGACATTTAACTTATATATTAGTACAAGGGTGCATAAACGTAAGATGTTCCAAAGAGAGGACCCTTCGATTTTTCATAAAGATCAACTCCGGGCTACTTCTCTAGATTTTGCACAGCAAGCTCATCGCCAAACGTAAAAACCCGGTGTCTTGACATATGAATGGACAAAGTATGACAAAATAAATAAATATGACAAAGTTTACTATAAATACGGCGTAGGCGTGGTCATATCGTTTATCAAAAAGTGCGACAAATTTCCGTAAAAGTGGCAAGTTCAAGTGTATATTTCTAACTGTGCAACACAGTATAACATATGCTTCTAAATTGTAAAGACGCCCCTCATGCAAATGCATCGATAAACAGTATAAATATAGTACAATATTATGAGAAATCCTCTACATGAAAGTGAGAAACGCGCCTTCCTTTCGCAACTTATAAACTGGGACGAACCAAAAACCAGATCTGCAAGAAAGGATCTTACTGCGCAACAAGTGTTAGCGAGACCCCGATTCAAAGAAAAGCGAAACTCTGAACATCTGGCCCCTGGGAGTGAGTTTTAGCGCGTCGTTTCAGCTAGTTTCCACGTCTCCCGGTTGTCCAGGTCGGCTTAACCCGGTGTGAAGTATGCTGGGTGGTCCGGGCGTCTATTTCAATCCCGTAACCGTATCAGATCTGAACGCCGAAGCTGCCAGATCCTCGTGCGGTGTTCGAGGTTCAAGATGCGGCTTCGCGAGCAGCACTTGGGCGCACTGACAGCACCCACGTTTTGCGGACGCGTCCAGATGTTGCGGCGGTACAGAGGTAACACCTTACTGGCCCTTCAAAGCGAGGAGGGGGTAATTAAAAAGAATAAATCACGTACAACCTACTTGAAACTGAGAATGCACAGCGGTCTGTAGGACTTGTGGCTGGTGTTATCGGCCATTCTCTTCCCCCAGAAGTCGTTGAAAAAGATGTTTCGCAAGCTGGACCCCGGTCTGACATCGGGATTGTTAGTGATAGCCCACACATCGTCGTGCACGAATTCCCCTCGCAGGGAGTTACTATAGCACAGCGCGCAGGCAGCAGCTAAGACAATGTAGCAAAAAAGACCCCCGTCCGGACCGAAGAGAGCGGAAAGACGTGACAGCGAGGTGCTCCTCTCTCGGCTCTTTGCTGTCATGTTGCCCCTCCGCTCGCATGCTGGTCACGTTTGTTGAAATCCCGGGGAGCGTGGGACACCATCTCCAGCTCCGGCTCGCAGGCTGCGGGCAGTGACTCTGAGCCGCCGACCGGGGGCCGCTTCTCCATGCGCCGCCCTCCCGCGCATGCGCGGTGGCCGCGAAAAAAAAAAAAACGCGCAGCTTTACCTGGGGAAGAGAGAAAGGAGACCTGGGGCCGAACCTGACTCACTGATCGTTAAAACAACCGAGAATGTTTTTAAAGTGGCCCACTAAGGGTGTGACTAAAGATATGTGTATATATATAATAGGCTAGCCAGTTTCACTGAGTGATATTTTCCCCGTTTAATATATCAGTTACTGGGATCAATGTAGTATGCATAGAAATTGCTTGTAATTTCATGTTTGTTCCCCGTACTTGAACTGATAAATCTGAAACTAAGTAGAAGCAAAAGAGAACAACGAGGAAATAGTCATGGACTTTCTTGTCAAATAAAATACATATCATGCAATAATATCTTGATCAGAGCGATGCAGATAATGGAATCTGCTCATACAGTTCCTAGAAACTACCGTTGATGCTACTTTACCCTAAAATAATTATTTCAGAAATCAAAATGGATTAAATGCTGTGCTGTATACCCACTTGCCCTGTCTTGAAATATCCTAGCCTATTACTAATAGTGAATATCCCTTTTCATATTTATTTAGCTGGAGCGCGATCCACTGGCAGACGTGCATTGCTGCTTATAATAGTCGACACTAAGCAACGATGTTAGGAGAATTGTTGCAGACACGAATGATCACGGACACAGCTACCTAGCACAATCCCCCGTCGAGGGGGTAAAATATCACCCCCAGTAAAATTTCTTCTTGAAAAATAAATATACATCAATTAGTTGAAATGATGTGGGCCATTTCCATCAGACCCCCCTAAAATGGCTTAGGCCCCCATGTCATAAATCCCTAGTGACGCTCCTGCTAAATATAATTAGTTTTCTTTATTGCAGGGTTGCCAACTTTGTTAATCTGGCTGGAGTCAATTTTTCAATTCGAGACAAAGTCTGCACATACATACACAGGCATCTGCATCCATGTAAGTGTTTCATTACCTCGTAGTCTGTAGTATTTTCAAACTAGCCCAATGCTTTTGATGTAGCTAATTTTAGGTTTATGATGGAATTAAACAGATTTGCCGCATGATTTCTTGCGTGAGCGCGAGTCTTAAAACGTGTCACGCCACACACGAGAGTTGGCAACCCTGTGTTGCAGTTTGTTCTTCAAACGGAGTTGCGATGGGGTGCTATGTGTGCTTTGAAATGTGCTTAATTTACAACTAATTGTGGAAGCCTTAGTCGTAGACTACTGGGCTATATGTATACACTCCCAGCTAACAATTTTTCATTCTAGAAACGTTTACCAAACGTTATGGTTAAGTTATGGAAACGTTCAAAGTGCCCAGTTTTCCTAATGTTCCCAGAATGTTTTCCCACTACTACAATTTATTCTATAACTAAAAATAATTACTTGCGAACAAGTAAGGTGGTTGGTAGAGCAGCGGGTAGTATTGTCACTTTTCTCCTTTAAGGCCTGAGGTCCAAGGCTAGCTGGTATACATGAAATTAATATACTTACATGTTTATCGCTATTATTCAGTTAATATTCTTATTGTCAAACAATATATTTCAACATTTATTACGTTAAAAGGATGTTCAGGCAGTAATGTTGTGCTAAAATTGACAGAACCTTTGTTAAAATGTAAAAATGCGGAAATAACGTTCCATTAACGATACCTTGGCTAAGATTCTAGGAACGTTCCCTGTTAGCTGGGCTATAGGCACAACACAGAGCAACAAAACAGAAAAAGTTTTCAGAGCGAGATCAATATAATTAAGGCAAGTGCATTTGCCCCAGTATTTGGTAGTCGATAGTATATGTGGGAGGTCAACAGAATGTTCCCCGACGTTTATCTTTGTGGAGAAATCTCGTTATCCCCGTTGTGGAGCAAAAGCTACATAGGAATAACCTTGCCATAACAACCACCTACTGTTTACCACATTCATCACTTTTAATCACGCAGGAGGGCAAACTGAGAATCAAGGCCTATTTGATGTCCATTCAAGTCACTGCAGTTTCCTGCTGTTCTCTGATTTACAATTATTTTTATTTGTTGATTGTTTGATGCTGAAATGTTTTGAAGTACAGAAAATATATCACTACAGGTCTAAGTGTGGCTCATTTTTAGTGTCATGTGAATGGGGGAAGCTTTTGTAAATTGGTGCCATCCACACATTCATGTTATCTCATCACAAGCACGGGATTGTATTCTGATCACACACTATGGGCGTTTCAGTCACCAGTTCACCTAATTGCATGTTTTTGGACTGTGCTAGGAAACTGGAGTATCTGGTAGAAAGTCCTACAACACAGGTATAACATGCACACTCCACACACACACACACAAACACACACACACACACACACACACACACACACACAACAGGGACAGAATTTGAACACCTAAACTTGATGTGAGTCCATTGTGTTGCCCATTGAGTTTCTGTACCACCCTCCAAACTTCAGGTATGTATAAAATATAATTAGCTGCCAAATTTCCCTAACGAGATCGTCAGTTTGATGCTTCCTTCTACAGATGGAAGGTGGCTTGGTGGCACAGTAGGTCATCTTGCTGAATCAAAACTCCAGGTGTGCAGGATGGTCTTCTCTGCTGCATATGCAGATTTCCAGATTCTCCTTTGAATCCACCCCCCTCCACCGCACCCCCCAGGGCCTTCGGGATAGGCTCTGAATCACTGCAACCCGAACTGAATAAGCAGCTATTAAAATGTATATATGAATGCATAACCCTCTGACTAAGTGAATGCAAAGCGGAAATCTTACAGAAGTGCAAAAACAGAGCCACTTCCAGAGAATCCAGTTGCCATGTCGTACTGACTGTTTCACATGTAGATGCTGTTTATAATATTAATATAGTACTGTGCAACAGTCTTAGTTAGGAAAAGAAAATAATGTTTAAATGATCTTCATGTTGGTATACCTGTGCCAGCTTTTTCCCATTCAATCTGTCATCTCCTCATTTGGCCAGCAGGTGTCACTGGCCATTCCATTTTCCCAATGTTTCCCTGGTTTGTCCTGTTCCTAGTGTGTTCCCTCACTCCCCAGGCATGGCTAACTGGGCTAAGTGGGCACCTCTGACCCAAGTAACTCATCCATCATAGATTTGAGGTTGACCAGAGACCAGCCTCACTCTGTTGGACAATTTATGTTCTTGTGCCCTGGTTTTTGTTGTGCATGTCTTGTTAATTATATTTTCTTGTATCTCTGTTTGGACTCTATCTCTGTATCTCTGTACCTCTGTTTGGACTACAATCAGCTATACCTGATTGTAGTCTTGTAGTGTGTTCTGTTCCCACATTCTAGTATCTCCTTGTGATTGTACCTTTAGTATTCATTACCCTGATCTGTTCCTTGTTGCCCTAGTCTCTGGTGTTTATGGCTGATTTGTAATAGCCCGCATCTGTCCCTTGTTTAAGCCTGTGTATTTATGTGCCTGCACTTCCCCTGTGCTTCAGCTGGTCATTGTGTTTGTTCCTGTGAGTTCCCTGCATGTGTTTCTAGACCTTGTTGATGTTAAGTGTCCCCCCCACCCCTGTTTCTGAAAGCAGGATTTCTTGCTTAGCCAGGTAACTTGTCAGATATAATAATAATAACAATACTAAAAACAATAAGGTTCCATAGCACTACATGCTTTGGACCCTTAATAATAATACATTTTATTTATATAGTGCCTTTCTCACACTCAAGGGCGCGTTACAATGCAAACAATCTTTGATATTCTGGGCTAAATGTTAGTGAGGGACAATAACATCCACTTGAACTGGCATGTCTCCCACAAGTTATCCAGCTAAGCAAGAAATCCTGCTTTCTGATACAGACCCCAGTTCCTGTCATTTCAGTATTTGTTCTACCTACCTGCCTTTGTTAGACCCCTCATAGTCCCTTTTGTTTCTGTTTTTTTTTTGTATTCGATTTATGTTCAAATCCTCATGTTGTTTGTAAACAGCTCAGTGCATCATTTATCATGCCCTAGTGTTGTAACAGTGTTGTCTGTAAAAACGTGTCAGCTTAGCCATTTCAAAACCTCTTCTAAAGTCTCCGCAGTATTTGCAGTGGTCATCCAATATGCCCATACATATGACTCAACCACTGGCGCACCACGTACGGCTAATCAATACCTCATTAAGTTTAATTACGAATTTAATTAATTAAGCAAGTAAGCTGGCAGTGAATTTAAATACATAGAGTGGCTGAGGTGTCCCTGAGGAGAGGTTTGCAAGCGAAAACGGTGTTTATATCACTATTCAGCAAGGTGTCTGTACGTTTTTGGAGAACAGAAGAAAATTTGTATTTTTTATTGTGTTACTGTAATGATCATATGTTCTATTGTTTAATTCTGGTTTTTTTCTGAGCAAATACACACTCACTAGTAAATACCTCTTAAAAAATTGTCCTTGATTGCCTAAAACTTTTGTACAGCTTGTTTTTTTTTGTAATTCAGAGCTGCAGTGTTCAAATGCAGTTTAACTTAATATTTATTTTGTTGTTCTTATGTGTCATTATATTTATCAAGAAGGTAGAAATGTAAAATCATTATGGTTGTGGGCCCCAGACCCACTGGAATCCTGTGCAGGGTGTACCCCAGTCTGGTTCCGTATGCTGACTGGGACAGCCTCCAACCATATGGATGGATGATCTCGGTCCATGTCCCGCATTACCATTCTTGGATTCTGTGCTTAGGCTGCCTTCATCTGTCTCATTTTGTTCCTTCTGGCTGCTTACTGTTGAGGAACATTCCAGAATCACAGGGTTCCCTCCTACATGCAGCTAGCTGACTAGCCTGCCGCGTAGAATCAAATTACAGTAAATAAGTTATGTAGTTGCTTAGTGGACATTTTTTGCTGATTAAATGCACAGAATAGAGGTAGTCATGTGAAAGGGAATGTTACTATTTTTACTGTACACGGAGGGGCGCTGCTTTTGGACCCCATGAAAGCATATCACATAGACCAATCCAGTTTTCTTCCAAATTTTTTAGGGCCCTAGT